CCTGCCAAGGCAGTGGCAGATGACAGCTGGGCCAATGGGCTAATGCGCCAGCTGGGGCAAAATCTGGGCCAGGGATCCTGTTGTCCCGCCAGATTGTTCCTGCAATGAGGGGGAGGCTTTACTGCTGGGATCATCGGCTTTGCTTCTGTCCCAGTGCCAGTCACTCGTCGCGAAGTCTGAAGTTGTGCAAGTGCAGAATTCAAACTTTGCATTCAAGGCTCCAGGCCCCCAGGCCCCCAGGCGCCCAGGCTCTCAGGCTCTCAGGCTCCAAGCCCCTGAGGCTGCATGTCTACCAGCCCTCCGTGCGTCTCCAGGCACTTTGAGGCAGTGGCTGGATGGCTGGGGTTCGGGCTTTCAGAGTGCCACCGATGCCAGCACGTTTTGGTCTCGGGGCGACCAAGCTTCCACAAAGATTGATACAAGTCTTCAAACTCGTCATTGTTGTTCGTCGATGATAGTTGAAACCCAGGTTACACTCGAAACCCTCGTTACCAAACCACCTAAATCCTTAAAGCCCCCCTGTACACCCTGTAAATTCCTTAAGCAAAGCACACACCAAAACTTGACAGGACCCTTCAATGCACCCGGATGACCCTTGGATGCAACGATCAGGCCAGGCACTGCATCTAAGGGTGTTTTGTGTGCATCCAAGGGTCAATTGCTGAAACCCAGGTTACACTCGAAACCCTCGACACCAAGCCACCTTTATCCTAAACCCCACCCTGTACCACCTGTATTCCTTCAGCAAAGCACACACCAAAACTTGAAAGGACCCTTCAATGCACCCGGATGACCCTTGGATGCAACGATCAGGCCAGGCACTGCATCTAAGGGTGTTTTGTGTGCATCCAAGGGTCATTGAGGGGTACTGGTCTGGTGGGATCATCGCCGTTGCTTCTGTCCCAGTGCCAGTCACTCGTCGCGAAGTTTGAAGTTGTCAGCAAGTGCAGCAATTTAAACGTTACCGTTGCATTCAAGGCTCCAGGCACCCAGGCACCCAGGCTCTCAGGCTCCAAGGCCCAGTAGAGTCGCTGCCGCCATGATTCCAGGCACTTTGAGGCAGTGGCTGGACGGCTGGGGGTCCGGCTTTCAGAGTGCCACCGAGGCCAGCATCGGTGCCACTCATGCCCGTTTTGGTCTCGGGGCGGCCAAACTTCCACAAAGATTGTTGGTGGGAACTGATTGCAGTGGCATTGATGCACCGATCCATGGCCTTAGGGAGCTCGGCATCACGCACCAGCATTTGTTTGGGAGTGAGGTGGCTGCTGGTCCGCGGTCGGTTATCGAGGCTAATACCAAGCCCTCGGTACTGTTCCACAGTGTCCTGGATGCTGACAAGGCACCGTTCGTTCACCTGTACATTGCCGGCTTCAGCTGCAAGCCGTTCAGCCTGCTCCACAATAAGTCAAGGCTCATCAAGGAAAAACAGGCTCAAATATTCTATGGGGTCGTTGCACGCATCCAACTTGTGCGGCCCTCGTGCTTCGTGCTGGAGAATGTGTCAGGCATCAAGCGTGTTTCTGCAAAGGTTCTGGCGGCACTCAGGTCCACAGGCTATCATGTCGAAATGATTTTGATGAACCCTGCCGAGCTACAGGAGCCCATCCAGAGGCCTAGGTACTACTTCATCGGGGTCCGGCAAGATGTGAGCCTCATCTCGCCAAAGGACATGTCGTGCTGGCTTCGTGAGGCTTGGGCGGAAGTCCAGGATTCAGTTGCTTCCGGAGACGCAGTCGATCTTTTGGATAGACTGCTACCGGCGAGCCACCCTGCTGTGGCACAGTACCAGGAAAGCCGCAAACGGAAGTGGTCGCAAGCTTCCAACCGTGGGTTCCCAGGCTCCCAGGCTCCCAGGCTCCAGGCTCCCATGCTCCAAAGTGGAAAGAATTGCACAAGATGTGCAAAGCTTCAATGCAGCAGGGCAGCCGGTTGAAGAGTGAGAGTCGGAGGCCTTGCACTGAGAGCGGAGTCGCCTGCTGCGCAGACACGTTGTTCCTGCATTTGCCGCGTGAGCGTGATGCCGGGGACATCATTTGCACAAAGCATGCAGGCAGTAAGGAGCTTGTCGCGGATGTATCCCAGAATGTGAACCGAGCCCGGGTGCGGACCGATGGCTCCCTGCCTACTGTTACACCTGGGGCCGTACTGGTATCCGAACGAGCTGGAAGGATCATTAGCCCGCTTGAAAAAGTCATGCTGCACGGTTTTCCAATTCACCGTATGGTTTTTCCCAGCAAAGTGACCGACAAGGAGCTCGCCAGCATGGGCGGCAACACGATGCATGTGCAGATTGTAGCCGTGGCAATGAAGTTTGCGCTTGCGTTGGTAAACTGGAGCCTGCCCAAAGCTTCCCGGCCGACAGCCTTGTGCAGCACCGTTGCTGCGCCAAGCATAACTGCTTCAGTTGTGCTCGGCGCAGCAGCGAAATGCCGCAAGCGCCATGGCAAGCCACGGAAGGCTCCCAAGGCGCGAAAGGCTGCATCGGCGCAGAAGCCTCCAAAGGCACCAAAGGCTCCAAAGGCTCAGAAGGCTGAAGGCATGTCAGCGTTGGCAAAGCGTTGGCAGAAAGTCTTGAGACCGCAGGCAGCAAAGAAGTGCTCGAGGAAGGGTGCCACGGCCACATTGGCGTCCCGTCTTGCCCATCGCTGGGCAAAGTAGTAGTCATTAATTCGTCATATTATGACGGAGAATGGCATGCGTTTTCTAATTTGGCCACTCGGAGTTGGCATCATAGACTGACTTAGGTGAGGCCGGGTGCAAAATTCGGGAAAGCCTGCTCCGAGCAGTACAGATTATTTGGACTGGGTCACCCTGCCGACTCCCAGTGAAACAAACCGCCGCAGTGTGCATAGGAGTTCGCAGTGTTGTGCCATTCGGGCTGCTTGACTCGGGGTAATACCCTCACGTCTGCCAGGCAGCTGCTCGCTGTCGGATCGAACGGGAAGCTGGAGGCGCGGTTCTCGGGTTAGTCGGAGTCGGTTGGACCAGTTGCAGAGTCTGATTCAGTTCCAGTCGTAGCACGGTTGCCACGGTTGCGTTTGCTTGTCATCGTAAGTGCTGCGCGGTCGCTTCAGGCTCCCAGGCTCAAGGCTCCAAGGCCCCCAGGATTTCAATGCCAGTGGGTAGCCGCACCCTGCGTGGTCTTGCCGCTCGGTTCGGACTACGCTCCCGGAAGCAGGACCGGACGCCGACAAAAAAAAGACGAGGTCCACAAGGATCCGTGCCTGCGGCCCCGAAGAAGCTTCGGCTCGAGTCCGGCGAAGGCCTGGCTCAGGAGGGCGACGACGACACCGGAAAGGGATGTGGCGATGTTGGTCTCGCGACTGAGAGCGATGCAGAGCATTTGGCTCGCCATCGTGGTGGCGACGAGAAATGCAGCCGATGCAAGCTGCCCGGTTCAGAAACCCTAATTTTAATTTAAATTATTATTTAATTTATAATTTAATTTAATATTTAAAGAAATTTAAATCATAAATGGTCTTATTATTAATAGGGTTTCTGAACCGGGCAACTAGACATACTACATACATACATACTTACATGCCTGCCATGCATGCATACACATTACATGTCAATCTATTTTTTCATTTTGGTTATTTATCATCTTGCTGTCGTGTTTCTCTCTCTCTCTCTCTCTCGGTGGCTCTCTCTCTCTCTCTCTCTCTCTCTCTCTCTCTCTCTCTCTCTCTCTCTCTCTCTCTCTCTCTCCCTCTCTCTCTCTCTCTCTCTCTGTCTCTCTCTCTCTCTCTTTCTCTCGTTCTCTCTCTATCTCTCTCGCTCTCTCTCTCTCACTCTCTCTCTCTCTCTCTCTCTCTTTCTCGTGCTCTCCGTCTCTCTCTCTCTCTCTCTCTCTCTCTTTTTCTCTCTCTCTCTCTCTCTCTCTCTCTCTCTCTCTCTCTCTCTCTCTCTCTCTCTCTCTCTCTCTCTCTCTCTCTCTCGCTCTCTCATCCAATCAATCAATCTCTCTCTCTCTCTCTCTCGCTCTCTTTCTTTCTTGCTCTGTTTCTCTTTCTCTCTCTCTCGCTCTCTCTCTCTCTCTCTCTCTCTCTCTCTCTCTCTCTCTCTCTGTTGGATCGTTATTGTTTGTGGCAGACTTGCTACTTGACTATGTTGCAGTTGCTTGTTGGTTCTTGCTTCCGGCATTCTCGACTTGATCTCGTCCGTTTGCATACAATCCCAACATGTCAGTCAGGTTCCTTCGCTTCCAGGAAGTTTGGAGCAAAGCCGGAAGCCTCACCCACACGTCTTGGGGCAAGCAGCAGCGGACAGTTTGGCTGGGCCAGAGACCAGCTCGCCGAGGAGGCGATTGGGGCATCGGCTGTCACTTTTGTGCACACTTGATGAATGTTTTGGCACAGAACCCAGCAGAGCGGAAGAGGTTGCAGTCCGGCCGAATTGTGCAGTGTAGTGCGAGCGGATAGCCCCTTTGTGATCAAATTAAGGCTGACCGTGACCAGCCCAACTTTCGCAGCCCTAAATGCCTAAGGCTGGGCAGTCGCCTCTCTACCAAGTGGGGTGGCTATGAGGTCCGATCAAGGACCGCATCATGTTGTCGTTGTCAGCTGTGATTTAAGGCATCAGTCGCAGACTTTGGCAGGAGTGCGATGCAGGCATGCTGCATACACGCTCACAGCAAGACCTTCGTTCACCAGGTGGCCACGAAGGTTTACCTAGCTCCTGACACGCCGATCTCACAGTGCTTGCCTTACAGCATCAAGCATCAGCACCTCTTCTCCGGCAACGTTCCTCAGCCGGCAGATTGGCTGCGAGCGTGGCGGGCGTGCCGGACAGCATCTTCTTTCAAAGGTGCCGTGAAATTCTATTCCACGGAAGACTTCGCTGCTGGCAGGAACACGAAGCTTGACAGTGTGAGCCAGGATGCAGCACTTGAAAAGGCCTAAGGTTTCAGATTGTTGACATTTTATTTTGGCACATTTAAATTTAAAATTTGACAAATAATTTAATTAATCATCTGAGGTCTCAAGAACATGATTCGTGTTATGCACTGGGCTGTCAAGAGTGTTCGCAAGCAGCGTCTCGAACAAGCCACCAGCATCAGCTTGTCCGTGGACGACCGCAAGGAGTATCGTTTGGTGAGGTACCGTTGCGATGTTCCACCGCGCACTGCCAAGCAGTCAGCGGCTCCAGGCTCCCAAGGTCCCCAAGGCTCCCAAGGCTCCCAAGGCTCGGAGGATGGCCCGCTTGTCGCCGATGGCTTGCTTGGGGTCTACAAGACAGGTGCCAGTGTTCCTGAAAACACATTGGCGGAGCACGATGCGGACAAGAGTCAGGTGATGGCAGACAGCATAGGCATAGTCATTGACAGGGCCTGTCAGGATCCGGAAGGCAAAACTGACGAGGAGTCCTGCAGCCGCTTGAAGCTGCACGTGCGGCACTTTGCAGCCGATCAGTGCACATCTGCCCGGAAGTGTGGCAGGTTGTTGGTCACTGGCGGCCAGTATCCTAACCTGGTCTGGGTAAGCCATGATCCTGCGCACCAGGTTCGTATTGCCTACCAGGACCCTCTTCACGCCATGCCCGAGTTCCAAGACCAGTGGGGGCGTTTGTTTGCTCCCGGCAAGGGCAAGCATGCGCTTATCCCGGACATCCAGAACTCAGAAGTCTGGAAGGCCAGGCTCATGGCGGCCCAGCAAGAGGTTCTCAGGCTCCATGGCTCCCAGGCTGGTGTGGAGAAGGTGATCCGAGCGTTGTAGTTCTCCCAACCTCGGTTTGACTCGTCGGCCACACCAATGCTGAAGTACTTGTGCATGATTCGTGCGATGGCGGTCTTATGTGCTATGCAGGCTGCTGACGAGTCTTGTCCTTATGTCAAACAATTTAATTTTAAAATTATTAAATTTAATAATTATTATTATTTATTTTAATTTAATTATTGTGTATTAAATCTTAGTCTTAGTATGGATTGTATTAATGCATGTATGTGCGGATGTATGTATGTACGTAATTGTTATTTTAATAATTTAATAATAATAATAATAATTTAAATTAATAAATGACAATGATTAATAACTATTTAATTAATTTTATAATATATTAACTTTTATTCAATAATAACTAAGTATGTAGTCTTAGTATTATGTATATGATATGTAGTATGTATGTATGTATGTATGTATGTATTAATGCATGGTAATTCACTTTCAATGTGTAGTATCTAAATTGAATTGTATGTATGTATGTATGTATGGCATGTACGTATGTATGTATGTATGTATGTATGTAAGTATTATGTATGAGTATGTATGTATGCATGTATGTATGTAGTATGTATTATGTAAGTAAAGTATGGATGTAAGTATGTATGCATGTACGTATGTATGTAGGTATGTATGTATGTATGTATGTAGTATGTATGTATGTATGTATGTGTAGCGTTAAGAAATTTAAAGTATGTATGTGTGTATGTATTATGTATGTATGTATGTATGTTTGTATGTATGTATGTATGTATGTATGTATGTATGATACGTATGTATGTATGTATGTATGTATGTATTGTATTGGCATTGTATGTATGTATGTATGTATGCATGTAGGTATTATTAGACATATTATTATTAACATAATACAATGTATGTATGTATGTATGTATGTATGTATAGTATGTATGTATGTATGTATGTATGTATGATGTATGTATGTATGTATGTATGTATAGTATGTATGTATGTATGTGTGTATGTATGTATGTATGTATGGCATGTATGTATGTATGTATGTATGTATGTATGTATGTATGTATGTATTGTATGACTGAGTATGAACTAATTTAATATTAATAAATTAAATTATTTTAAACATTGAATGTTTGTATGTATGTGTGTATGTATCGTAGTATGTTATGTATGTATAGTATGTATGTTTGTATGTTTGTATGTTTGTATGTTTGTATGTATGTATGTATGTATGTATGTAATTTAATGTATGTAAGTATTATGTATGTAGTATGTATGCATGTATGTATGTAATGTAATAGTATGTATGTACTCTACGCATGTATGTCATGTATGTTGAAATGTCCGTTGTATGACACACAGGAGAGAAACACGGTCGAGATTCGCTCCCGAGCAGAGCGCGCCTTGCAAAACATGAATGCAGCAGCCCTCATGCGCTGTGGACTCACTTGCGACTACAAATCTGAGTGCCTGGGTTTCTTGCGCAGGAACTTTGACATTGAGGATCCAGATGTATCCTGCACCCCCAGAGTGCTGGAAGAGTTCACCAAGCGCCAGCGGTTCTTATTTGTGGATGGATACATCCTCTCCGACAGCTCGCAGGTTCCCAGTTCCGTGGACGGCTCCGAGGCTCCAGGCTCCCAGGCTCCCAGGAGGTGTGCAACCCAGTTAGTTTACGAGGAGATCCAGACACCAGAGCCGCAACTACCCTGCAAGTTTGTCGTCGTAATAGCGGTTGTGTTCCAGTAGGCTTCGCTGGTATGCCCGCCGTGGCAAACCTAGGATCTTCTATGGCAACAGAGTCCACTACCTGTGCACGAAGGCCGGCATTTCTGATGTAAGGCAGATCATGGGAACTATGGCGCACGTGGTCGAGGCGATGCTGGAGCGTTTGCGAGTAGATCTGACGGAGGATGAGATCGCCGTGGCTCTGCAGGTATTCAACCTTCGGCTGTGGCAGGAGACGAACCGACAACAGGAGCTAGTGGACTCTACACGCAAGCTCTGTGATATGCTCAAGCTTTCGCACGGTACAGCCGTGCTGTTTGGACGATTTGCTCGCAAATTGCATCCTCTTCTAGAAGCAGCTAAGTCAAAGGACCCAGGCTTCGGGAACAAACATGCGTGGTCTTGGTTGCTTCGGCCAGCGTGGCGTGCACGGCATGCACACAAACTTCCATGGACAGAGGATTGTCATGCCCTCATTGCTTTCTTCTTGTCCTTGAAGATCAACACGACCACGCTGGAAAGGGATTTGGGACACTTGCTCACACAGCTGGAGGCGCATTCCGGACCCCTCACTCCAAATGGCTCAACCATTGCCTCCATCCTCGAGGTGGCAGTTGAAGGTCCCCAGCGAGAGGAAGAATTTTCCCGGAAGCCGGAGAGCGAAGGTGCCGTGCTGACCCCAACTGACTTCGGGGTTCTTTGTGGTGAACTGTGGATTCGTCACTTTGGGCGTCGGTTCCGCATGACCTACAACAAAGAACGAAAGCAGGGGCCCAGAAAGCCACGCCAGGCACGTTCTGGAACTCTGGCTGCAATTGTCAGAGGCCGTGAAGCAGCCGCCGCCGAGGCAGCGAAGAGAGCAGAGGCAGCTGCTTCGAAAGGCAGGTCGTGGAAGCCGGCCTCTTTCGTGCCGGGCTTGAGCCTGCCTTTGCCGGCAGCGTCTGCCTCTGCCCAGAACAGCGTTGCTGGCACACGTTGGGCTTTCGCCCGCCCCACACCAGATGCCCTCAAGCATTTGGAGAATTTCCGTGCACGCACACAGCAGAAATATGACGGTGACTCAGCAGCACAACGGTTGCTTTCCGTGCTAAGTCATTTGAAGTGTCATACACATTGTCATTGTCATCCAGCCAAGGTCACCAAGAGGAAGCGCGGAGACGATCCTCTGGCAAGATTGCTTACACAACAACGGCGGCACGGCTTGGCGGTTTGCATGGTGCAGCACGGCCACGAGAAGGATCGGTCATCCGTCTTGCAAAGCATCCTCCGCAAACGAGCTCTGAAGCTATGTCCGGTCTATCGTCGCTACACGGACAGCAAGTCGCTGCAAGGCAACAAGCATTTCCAGATTCTTGGACCGTACGAGTATGAATCCGCCGATATCCTGGTCCTCGAACAACTGTCCGATGTGGAGACGGTCCGCAGCGACCGACTGGTCCCAAGCTTTTAATTAAAATGTTTAAAGTCGGATGATGCCAGGCTTAGATCGTCACTGCTGGTACACGTTGACGTGTTTCATCCCAGGTTCCTGCCTTGATCATTGCGTACGGCTGTGGCAAAGTGCTTGCCTCCAGGGAGGCGATTCTGGCATACTTGGACAATCCGACAATTGATGCTGAGAAGTCGTTCTTGTCCTTCAACACAGCTGCAACTTCGAGGCTGGTCGGCCTTGAGATCGCCAAGAGCTGTCAACTGTCGCTCGGTGGCACAGACACTGAGGTTCAAGGGTTTCGGGTTGAAGGGTTTATTGTCTAGGGTTGGGTTTGGGTTCAATTTAATACAATCAGTCAGGACCCGTGCCATCGTCGAGGCCCTGCGATTCTGTGAGAAGTTGCCCCAGTCGAAGTGGCGTGTTGCTATCGGCACACCACTGCCCACTCAATTTGCTACCAAGAGGCGCACCACCTACAAGATCAATGGAGAGGCCGATATCTGGAATTTCCTCCGCCGTCCGCGGGTTGTCCCAGAAGCGGACATTGTCCGGTGCTGGTGTACAGATGAGGCATTTGCCCCCCAAGAAACCCAAGAAAGTTCGTGCGTCATAGTCCTGTACTGCAGCAGTTAATGACAGTGCTCTTTGGCTCCTTGGCTCCCAGGTTCGCAGGCAGGAATTTTCCTGGGGTCGAATCATTTTAAGTCTAGTCGTTCGCACAGGAATGTACAGGGGGCCTGTGTCGCAAGGCAGGGTTAACCTTGTCTGGGGCAGCAGGTGCCTGCAACAGATCCTGTTGCAAGCCCCTGCTCAATACACTGCAGATTGGTGCCAATCCGGGGCGTATTGGCAGGACAAAACGGCCTTGCAATTCAATTCCCCTGCAGTTGTTTAATTGCAGGACAATGGTAGGATGCAATACACCATGGATTGGTGCCAATCCCTGGTGTATTGACGTTCCATTTGTCCCTTGCAATAGCCTGCCTCTTTCATTTCAATACAGGCAGGATTCGCGCCAATCGCCGCGGCGCTACATCCAAGGGTGTTTTGGATGCATCCAAGGGTCCCGGCAGCTCTTGTTCCATGCATCCAAGGGTGTTTTGAGTGCATCCAAGGGTCACGTTATCAGTGCCTTAATGATGAAAGAAGCACCTGTCACCCTTCAATGCACACGAATGACCCTTCAACGCACGCAAATGACCCTTCAATGCACATGTCACTTGTCACTGCATTGTCTGAGGCTGTTGTCGTCGACAAGATGGACGTCGAGGGGCAGGCCCAAAGTCGTTTCATTTCAGTCATGGTTGGCTGTGTGGCTGAGTTGTCAGAACATGACAGTTGCATGCGACAGTGTGTTGTGTCAGTCTTGCCATGTCACTATCAGCATCTGATACGAGGCTTCTGCGGCAACAGGCTCCAAGGCTCCCTGGCTCACATAGGCTACTAGGTCCCAATGCCGCCTGCGAAAATGGCCGCAGCCGATCCTAAAGCAGCCGCCGCAGATATGGCACCCACCATCATCGCCGAGCCGGAGGAGAACCCAGTGATAGAGACTCAGTCTCAGAGATCTTGGTCGCGTCTCGGCTACTGTGCGCTGAGGGCAAGTGACTACGAGAAGAGTGTGGAGGCGGCT